GGTGAGGAATGCACAAGGCCCAGGCCGAAGGGAGAGCCAGGGGAGTCTTCAACAGTTTATTAGAAAGAATGCAGACATTAAAAAAATCCCAGCTGCTCTGAACATAAATTGAGGTTTCTCAGCCCGGTCGCAGGCCCCACGGTCTGTCACTCGCTGCCAAACCCACAGTGCAAATACGATTTGGTCTAAATGTACAGATTGACAAAGCAAACAATGTACAGCCACTCCCCCCGGGCGAGGAGGGGGGAGGTCTGGGGGGGTCACACGGAACCAGGGACAGGCTCCGGCCACCGGCACCGCTCGGGGGCTCGGGGGGGCCCAACACCAAACGAGGAGAAGTTTTAGGTTTTCCTTTTCAATACGAACTTTAGTGGAACAGACCTGAAGACACCACGGAGGGATGTTGCCTCGCCTGCTGAATTTGGGGAGCCAATGACAACAAGTTTTGTTCCCGGTACAAACAGACAATTTCAGGCCGTGGAGGAGGAAGGGGGGGGGAAAAAAATGCTTAACCATTTGGTGTAGATTCAGGGGTTCTCCCATTGTAATTACATCTGCTACGAGGCAAGGAGGCTCTGTAAACTTTATTGCAACTGTTCTGTACGGATTGCCTACACCTCAATTGGGGGGTTGGTTTGTCTTTTTTTGGAAGTCTGGAAAACGGTTCATGCATAACGTTATTGCCTCTCGTGGCTTAAGACCGCCCCGTGCCATGGGACACACCTACCATCAGTGAAGCCATTTAAAATGGACTGAAAATGGGTTAAAGGATGCAGGATCTCCCTTTAGGGCTATCAACTCAGGAATTCTTATCTCAATTATGAAATGTTGTGATGAAGTTCTTTCCCCAAAACCCTGAAGACGACAGTTTTCCTTACTCCAGATCCGGCATTTCTAGAGAGAGAGAGAGAGAAGAGAATTGTTTTAGGGCTGGATTGTGGGGTAATGTTTTTTTTTGGCTATTTGTTTTTCTAAAAGCTACCAGAGCCCCATTATGTCACAAGGGACACGAGCAAGACGACCTGGCCCTCAACCAAGGAGGGCACGAAGCAGTTTGGGGCCTCTGCCCTCCCTCCTGGCTCTCCCCAAGGGAGATCTGTGCCAGAGCCACCCCGAGCACGTGCTGCTCCTGAAGCTGAAGCCTCCTTGGGACTGCAGCTGCCTCAGAAGGTCAAAGTGGTATTTGGGGCTTGTGTGGAGAGGCTTTCCCAGATTAGGCTGTCTCCCAGCACTGGCTTCATCTCCTGCCAGGACTCATGGGATGGACGGGGGAACATCTGCCGGCCCTGCCCGAGGCCGGGGTGGTTCAGCAGCTGTGTGAGGGGAAAACAACAACTTACTTTCATCATCACTGTCTGGTGAGTCCTGCAAAGGAAAAGAAACAACATTAAGTGGAACAGATGGCCCTGAAAGCGCCTTGCCTCTAACACCACCCCCCAGGAACGAGCTGCTGCTCCCAAATCCAGCACCAAGCTGGATCCCCTTTAGGCAGAGCAGGGATTTTGAGGAACTCCGGGTTCCACAGGACTCAGTGAGCTCAGTTTGGCCTCTGCAGAGCCCACAGAGCCACTGCAGAGAGACACAGACTCCAAACTGCATGGTGCCCCCACTGCCCTCAGCACTGCTGAGAGAGAGGGAGGTGACTTCCCCAGGTGACATCACCTGTCCAAACAAGGTTTGGGGCTATTTAAGCCTTCTGCAGTGCTCAAGAGGGAGCACAAGACTTTTTAAGCAGCCCTGCCCGTGTTTACTCCAACCACATACTCACATCATCTGCCCCATCTACTTCTGGCAAATCTACGTCGTCGTCTCCACCCATGTTGTTCATCATCTGCCCAGAGAGAGAACAGCCACGAGTCGGGGTGAATCCAACCCCATTCTCCTCCAAAACCAGCCTGAAATGGTTCTAAACCAACAGCCCCCAGCTGCTTTGACAGGACAGCTGCCCCCAGGCAGGAATTACAAGGTCAGGATGCAAGAAAACCTGGGATTAATTGCCCTGCAAACCCCGAACTGCAGGAATTCCTCACCCCTACCTCGGAAAAGCGATCGAAATTGGACATGTCTTCATCTGAATCATCTTCCCAGTCTTTCCAGTTGTTGAAGTCCACGCTGAGCCAGTTGAGCTGCACCAACACAAGGAGTTACTTAAGGACAAGGAATCTTTTAAGGACAAGGAAGAACCCGGCTGTCATCAGACCAGGCAGGTTAACGAGAGCTGCTGCCGGATCGGGAGCAGGAAAAGTGACCCAAAACTGCTCCATAATTCCAACATGACCCAAATATGCACAAATTAAAAGCCAGGGGGGGCAGCAGGTGCCCAAACCCACCTTTGCCCTCTCTTTTGTTAACCTTGGCCATGCCTGACCAGACTCTCCTTTTCGTAAACAACATAAGATGGATCTGTCTGTTCTTTTATGCTTTGATTCCTGAAAAAGAGCAAATACCCATTAGTACCATCAGGATGAGCTTCACCACCAACTGCTGACATCCCTCATCTGTCTTAACCTCTCCACTTATTCTTTATCCTGAAAAACACTTCAGGATAAAATACTCTCCTGAAAAACACTTCCACGGATCTGAGTTCAAGCCTATTCTTACAGGCTAAGGAACTCTTTGTCCCAAAATCCCAGGAGCAGCCTAAAGAACAGATGGTATTTTTTAGGACCACAGAAGTCCAGAATGGTTTGGGTTAAAGATCATCCCACTCCACCTCCTGCTGTGGGCAGGAACACCTTCCACTAGACCAGGTTGGTCCAAGTCCCATCCAACCTATCCTTGAACTCTTCCAGGGATGGAACATCCACAGTTTCTCTGGACAACCTGTTCCAGTGACTCACCAGGTTCCAGCACTAAGAACACCCAAGAGGAGGCTCGGGATACTCACATTTGGATCGATATTATTAAAAAGGTCGATTTCATTTAAATGTTTAAAGTTGTCACTTCCTCCAAGACAACTGCAAAGAGAAAAATAAGTTGGTGTTTAGCCCAGAACACGTTGTAGAACAAATCTGCTTCTCCTCAGCCCTCAGGGACCTCCCTGTGCCCGAGTTACTCACCTGAACGTGAGTTTGGACTTTTCAAAATTTACATTAACATCTTTGCTGTCTTCGACACAGAACTCGATAAAGACGTAGTCCCTCCGGTCGTACCACTTGGCAGAGGCAGGCTGCCTGTGGGCACAGCAGGTTTGGGCATTTCATCAATAAATTCAACTAGAAACCTTCCCTCCCGTGTTCAAAACCTGCATTTCGAGCTCATTATTCATCTTTAGAGGTGCTTAAGAATGGAAAGAGATGTGAATAAAAGAAACGATGCACTCAGTGTGTAACACCCCCGAAGAGCTCCTGGGAGGAGCCACTGGAATCTGAGAGACTGAAATAAATGTTTCAGCAGATCAAAATTGTGATAAACTTGAAGATGAGCTAGTACAGATGAGGCAGAAGCTCCACCCCCTCCCACAGCTGCCTGGGCAGATTTCAGGGTGCTTTTTGTCACCCTAAGAGTTAAAACCAAGCCCAAGCAAAACCACTGAGAAAACCTTTTTGGGCACTGACACTGTTAAAAAATAGATTTACTATGATGAAGACCCAGCTGGTGTCAGCACAGGTAGGAGAGCTGGAGAATCCTTGCTCCAAACTCTTCCTAGATCCTCCTGCATACTCAGACTGGAACTCCCACACACTTTGGAATTCTCCTCCCTTTCCAAAACCACCATAGTAAGTAACAGCATGTCCAGGGCAGCTCTGGTGTTTGCAGTTCCACACTGAGGACTCACCTGCAACGCTCTGGCCGTGCTCAGTGGACTGGGGAAAGAGACCCAGCAGGGCCTGGCCACCCTCCTCCCTCCCCCTCCAGTTATTCCCTGGCAACTGTGGCCAAGCCCAGGGAACGCCTGCATTCCAGGGGAACCAAACAGCCTCCCAGCAGGGCTGTTGCTAAGGCACAGAGGCCACGGGTGTTTCTCACACTCCTCTGTCTTCCTGAGATCACAGAATCATGCAATGGGTTGGGAGGGATCTTAGAACTCATCCCTTTGGGCTCAGTGCTGCTCTAGAAGCACAATTATTAACTTTTCAGACCATTTATTAAGGTGACCTTTGCTAAACTGTCAGGTCAGGTTTTGACTCACCTGATCACCAATTGATTAATTCTTGGCACGGAGCTGTGACACATTTTGTGAGGTGACTCACCGAGGGCCTGCACGTTCCCTAAACGTTCCTACCTGCTCCCATCCACATGTCCTCAGGATGAACCACAGCAGGGCCCAGCCCAGCCCCAGCTGACCCCCAAACCAGCCAGCTCTGAGCTCCCCCAGTGCCACGGGGACTTGGCTACACCGGTGCCAGCTCAGGGAAAGGCTGGGGCAGCAGCAGAACTGCCACGATGCCTCTGGTGGGTGCAGGAACACCTGGTCAGAGGCCAGTGTCCAAGGATTTAACTTCCAAGAACACGAAAACAAGTGCATTCTGAATTCAACCTCGAGTTTCAGCGAAATGCTGTTCCAGGAGAGAAAACCTGACGCTTCCCCTTGCAGCTGCACTTCAGGGAATGTTAATTATCACCTTACCCAGGTAAAGTGCAGCAGCACAGCAGGACTTTTCTTACTGGGGTATTTTTAATTCCTTCTTGGGCACGAGTATCCTCTTCTAACAGGGAATGAAAGACTCTCAGAGGAAAAGAGGAGGAGAAATGCCCCACTCTGTTCCCCCAGCGTGGGACACCGGGGGACGTCACTCCAGCCCCGTTACCCAACAGAAATCTCAGTGTCCCTGCCCGGGTGACGCAGGGGCTGAACAGTGTTAACACTTCCCAGTTCTCAATGTCAATGGAGACATCTCCAGCCTTCCCAGGAGCCACACACATCCCGGCCTTCGTGACCTCGGGATCTCCGCCCAGAGGGGGGGTTTGAGGCACAAAACTCACAGCACGTCCAAAAATCTTGCTCAGCTCAAGGAAAACACACACACACATCCGAGCTGGAGAGGGATGAGATCCCAAATAAATTTGACTCGACCACAATTCACGTTTCTGCCCCCAAACCTGTGCCGCTTCCCCAGGAATGAATTCAGCACTCGCCACCCTGAGCTGCCTCTCCTTCCTTTATCTGCTTTTCCAATCTCGCCCTCCCAAAGGGAGGAGGGAAAACCTCCCCGTGAGCTCCAGCCAGAACTCCCCGTTCCCGGAGCTCCCAGGGCTGGGACGAGGCGGAAGCCGCGGCTCGTTTGCGTCTCCTGCCCACACGGAGATTCCCAGGAGACAAACCACACGGAGCAGCCCTGCACGTGCTCCCCGCGCTCCAGAGCTGCTCCCACACCCCCACGGAGCCATCTCCTCCTCTCACAGGCGCTGAGGCACCGCCAGGACTCGGGAGCAGATCACCTGTTGCACAGAGTTCTGTCCCCACGGAGCCTCGGCCTCCTGCCAGGGGGGCTCTGGTTATCCCTCAGCCCCGGGACTCTTTGGGAAGGAGGAGGTGACTCCACCGTGCTCCCTCCCGTGTGGGTCCCAGGGAACAAGGCACTGTGTCCCACTCCAGAGGGTTTCCTCTGTCCCATCCACCCGCGTTCTGGGGACTTCCCAAGCTCCTCTGGCTCTTCCAGTCGCCACATTCCGATGACAACTGTGATTCCAGCACGGTGGAACAGGTTCTAGAAGCTTCCCAGCAGCACTGATAGGCAACGTGGAGGCTCAGCTTCACCCCAGAGCCCTCATGGCTCTGCCTGATCCACGGTGGCTCCTGGGGGCTGTGCTTCCAGCCTGGATATCCCTGGATATCCCTGGATATCCCCGTCTCTGGCACAGCAGCAGCTTCTGACCCGCTGAACTCCCGAGTGGAATCTCAAATCCCACTGTTCATGGCGTTTCCAAACCTGTCCTCCTTGTATCCTGTGCCTATGGAATCCTGCCTTTGTCTCCTGGGAGCATCCTGGGAGCTCCCACAGCCCGAGGACACTGCAGGAGTCAGATTCCCAGCAGGATTTACCCCCCAGACAGCAATAAAACCTGTTTTACTCAATTAGTTTTCTTTCCACTTATCAACCCCGGAAAGGTGCTTTTTTAACTAAAAAAAGCCTCATTTTAGATTTTAGACAGCTCCATGCAGAGGGAGCAGCGCTGCAGTTTCAGGATGGTGAACTTTACAGAAATTAAACAAAAAAAAGTCCAACTTTATCACGTCCCTCTCGCTTTCAGTCACGTTAGGATGAAGCAGCTCCAGTCTGGGGTTTCAGAACACAAGTAAAACGCCTGACTGGGGACAAGGGACCAAAAGCCACCAGTCCCCGAGGGGTAACTCTGTCCTCAGACCAAATTCCTGACAAAATAAAACCTCAGCAAGTGCTACAACCTCCAGACATTCCAGCCAGACACGTAGAGGTCACAGAACCACGGAATGGCCTGGGCTGGAAGGGACCATAACCCTCATCCCATTCCACCCCCTGCCATGGGCAGGGACACCTTCCACTAGCCCAGGTTGCTCCAAGCCCCGTCCAACCTGGCCTTGGACACTTCCAGGGATGGGGCAGCCTCTGGGAAATCCATTCCAGTGCTTCAGCACCCGAACAGGGAGGAATTTCTTCCCGGTATCCCACCTCCCCCTGCCCTCTGGCAGTCTGAAGCCATTCCCCCTTGTCCTGCCGCTGGAGGTGTGGGAACGGCAGCTCCGGGGGCAGCACAGCCCTTCCACGGCCACATTTCCTTCTTAAAAGTCGTCCCGCACATGAAAAACTCCATCTCGTCTTCCCCGCGCGTTCTGAGGGAACACTCACACCGAGCCAGAGCTCTGCCACGAGCAGCTCCCGCCGCTTTCAGGTCGCTGAGGCGGCGCCAGGAGGGCCCCGAGGAAGGCAGTGAATTCGGGCTCCCCGGGAGCGCGGGATCCCGCCCGGGATGCACGTGGAGAGAGAGGATCCAGCGCCTCACCCGCGCCGGACAGGGCAGCACCGGGGGGGTTCCGGGCCGGGTTCCTGCACTTCCACCCGCTCCTAAGGGGCTTTCTCACTATTCCTCGGTCTTTCGTGGAACGGTCTGGGTTGGAAGGGACCTTAAAACTCCTCCCGTTGCACCCCTGCCATGGGCAGGGACACCTTCCAGCAGCCCGGGCTGCTCCGAGCGCCGTCCGGCCCGGCCTTGGACATTCCAGGGACGGGGCAAAACCCAGCCGTGGGTTTTAAGTGGAAAAGTGGAAGTTTGTAAACAAGATTCGCCCGTCTGCGCGCTCCGGGCGGCTCCG